TTTACAGGTGAAAATAGAGCAACAGGACCGCTAGTCTTTGACTTTATTTATTTTCTGCTGTGTTTTACTTGCATCTATTTGAAAGACTGAGTGTAGACACAACAAATATTTTATTTTATGTGCTGGAATGTGCAGAAAATAGGTTTAAATGTTAAACTAATTTCTTCCAGTCAGTGAATGTTAAAACTAATAAAACAAGTTTTAAAAAGAGACTTTTCCATTTGATTACATTTTGTATGATGATTATGCAGAAAAAGTAGAATTGGGCTGAAAGATCTATCACTTTATCACCTATTCAGGTTGTAAATCCTGTTTTTAAAAAGTAACTAAGTAACTAAGTATTTAATTACCTTTGAAAATAAGTAACCAGTAAAGTAACTGGATTACTTCTTTGGGGAAGTAATCAGTAATTAGTTACTGATTACTTTTTTCAAGTAACTTGACCAACACTGGTCCTAACTGCCATATGCACCATAACCCTGAAGGTCAGGTGTCGTACGAGAATGGAGAGCCTTGAGGCTGAGAATGAGCTGGACCACCACAGAAAGGTTTAGCAGCTCAAACAATGACTTGTTCCCACAGCTTACCAAAAGTACCCACCCAAAACACAGGTACAAAGAGTTGGGTGGAGCTTACTAAAGCACTCGTCAGAAAGCATGCAGAGAAATATTCACACAGCTGAAAACAAGGAAGAAATGGAGACCCTAACCCTCTGCCTCGTCCAGAGGAACGTTTGAAGTGTGACCTTAAAGGATGTGGACCCAGACTGGTCTGAGAGAGGAAAACTGTCAAACATCCCAAACTGACATAAAACCAGAACAAACTGCAACTCTTCTGGAGGGAAAAAAAATAAAGAGAGGTGAAATCAAAGAGAAATAAATAAAAGTCTGTGTAATAATGAGGTTTTGGGGTTATCAGTGATTTATCTTAATCAAATCCTGTTTGTGCTTTTGTGACCGCTGAGGGAACAGAGCTGTTTAATAAAAGTTCATTAATCGCTTCCTCTAGTTTCTGTCCTCAGCACCAAAAAACAGATTTTAATTATCACTTTTTAACAGAATAGGAGAAAAGCAGCAGAAGATATGAAAAAACAAATGATAAGAGAGGCAGCGTCACATGATTTACATTGTTAACCACACAGACTCGTTCTGCATGAAAGAAAATGGTTCTAGTGACAGCTGTAGAAAAAGTCAGCATCACAGGATGGATGAGTTCAAAATAATAAATAATAATTGGAGGGTCTCACTGATCAAAAACTCACCAGCTTGTGCTCCTTTGGTCTGACTCTGCATTCACATTAATGAGATTATAACGGAGTAACATACAGCACAAGGTGCAGAGGAATCAATACGGCAAAGACAGCGACAGACACACAGAGAAACGCTACAGGCATGGTGGGCGTGCAAACACAACCATCCAGCAGACTCCAGTGATGTACGTGGTTTAGTTGTAGGAAGAAGCCGTCTCTGAAGCGGATGGAGTGGGTGGAGGTGCTGCTGGTGCAGAGAGGCTGAGGTTATGGCTCTGAGACAGAGAGTTCTCCGATGTTTGGGAAGTTCAGTTCCAATGATTAGGAATGCTTTTCCTGTAAGGTCAGGAAAGTTCCTCCTTTGAATGTGACCTCTGTTCATCCTCTGTTTGAAGATGCTCGTAGTATTTAGAGTCCATGTCACTGAGGTGGAGGTGGACACACTGCTGACTGTCTCTACAGGAGAATTCAGGATGGGGTAGATCAGGGGTGTCAAACTCCAGGCCTCGAGGGCCGGTGTCCTGAAGGTTTTAGATCTCACCCTGGGTCAGCACACCTGAATCAAATGATTAGTTCATTACCAGGCCTCTGGGGAACTTCAAGACATGTTGAGGAGGTCGTTTAACAATTTAAATCAGCTGTGTTGGATCAAGGACACATCTAAAACCTGCAGGACACTGGCCCTCGAGGCCTGGAGTTCGACACCTGCGGGGTAGATGAACTCATTCCTTCCAAAACTCAGTGATGATCTCTTTTATCTTGTCAACCAGCATCTGCTCAACCCCTGGAGTCTCCTCTGACCTGTACATGCCCAGAACCGTAGGTAGGAGAGTGGTGAACTCATCCTGATCAGATGTCCTTACAACCTCATTTCTGATGTGCGGCATCTAGCTCAGGGGTGGGCAACTCCAAGCCTCGAGGGCCGGTGTCCCTGCAGGTTTTAGATGTGTCCTTGAACCAACACAGCTGATTTAAATGGCTAAATTAGCTCCTCAACGTGTCCTGAAGTTCTCCAGAGGCCTGGTAATGAACTAATCATGTGATTCAGGTGTGTTGACCCAAGGTGAGATCTAAAACCTGCAGGACACCGGCCCCCGAGGCCTGGAATTGCCCACCCCTGATCTAGCTACTTCAAGCTCCCTCTGAATGTGGAGTTTCCTTGCCCTGCCACCCAGCCACCCTGCAGACTCTATCCCATCTGCTTCGTAGTTTTGGTAACAACCCAGAGCTCATGAACAAACCAAGGGGCTGATTTTCTTGTAAACAAACTTTGCCATTACTTTATCTGCAAAAACTTGGGTCTGGTATTCCCAGACTATTCCCCCCATCCTTGCTGTGCCTGGAGATCCTGTCCTTGATTTAGATCCTTTGCTTTAAGATCATAAGCAGGCCTGGAAACGAGTCCAACACTCACTGAAAGCATGTCTGAATCTGTGACGAGCAAACAGACACAGCTCTGACTCTAGTTATACGAGAAACCCATCAGACTCCTTTAACGCTGTGAGATGAAACCTGACAGTTTTAAGATTGTCAGGACTACAGACTTTAAGCAGCATGTGAATCCAAACTTAGTTTCAGTTTAATGCCTCCTCTAATTTTGCTGCTATAATGTGAATATTCCCACTGTCCAGCTAATGAAGGCTATCTTATCTTGAAAAAAGTGAACTCTGCAATTTTGTAAATTCGAATAACATTTTCTTGGGGATACCCTGAACCATGTAAACATATTTACAAACCACTGACATCAATTATTGTTATTATGCAGATGTACACTCGCTACAGCCTGTCCATACTTATAGCATATTCATAACATACCCTCATACCGTGCACATTTTAACATACCCATAATAGACCCGTATTTTGTACCCACCTACAACTGACACATTTCTGTAATATATCTATATTAGAGCTAAAGCACTTTCTGGATGGATGCAAACTACATTTCGTTGCCTTGTGACATGTGCAATGACAGTAAAGTTGAATTCTATTCTATTCTATTCTATACCACAATTACCTCACTCCGTTTCCAAGATTCCTTCCTGCAGGGAACTAAAGAAAGAATAGACTTGACATTCCCAAACGTTGTAACAGAGGTCTGGTGAGGTATGGGCAGCCAGCAGGTTTAGCGGATGTGCAACTTGGAAGTTAACCGGAAAACTTGGAGGCTAGTCAGGTAGGTAGAACAGGAGGTCTACCTACAGCAAGACCACACAAGTCCTCCTGCCACAATAGTGAGAAGTGACCTCCTCTAGGTGTGCTATGCCGTAATACCGCTTGTTACAATGTCACCTGCACCAGGGTAAACCTCCGCCTGCCTCACTCCTGCTTTACAGGTGAAAATAGAGCAACAGGGCCGCTAGTCTTTGACTTTATTTATTTTCTGCTGTGTTTTACTTGCATCTATTTGAAAGA